AATCAAACATGACATAAAAACGCAGTTAAGAGACATTCACGGTTTGTTTGCAAATAAACAATCTTTTATAATGCTTCACGAAACATATCAAAATGCGAGTCTTTATATATTGTGTACAAATAGAAAAAAAAAATACGCCCACCCTTCTTTGTACTTTTGTTATTAACGCGGAAATGCAGCTGATATCTCATAATGTAATAAGATTGAATTTCGATATTAAAGAAAAAACTTTTTTTTAGCTTCCTGTGGCATTTTGCAGTGAATTTAACTTACTTGTGATGGCAAAATATTCAGCAACATATGACTTCCAAACGGGGCAATCTACGACAAACCTTCACTTGGAGCGAGCCGACGTCTTCGTCATAGCGGCTTTGCCGCACAGCACCAGACATTTTCAGCGTTAGTTAAAACATATATTTTATATATTTTCAATTTTTTTTAAAAAAGGGTTGAATATAACAGACGCGAAAAGGGACTTGGAGTTGGAATATCATTAATTAGATTTCAATTAAAAAAAAAAACGGCCTCACCCTGCCAATACGCTAACTATGCATACTTAAGCTTAAAACTCTCAGTTGCGCAAGTGGCCATGTATAGATCCGGCCTCTCGGCATATGATGACTTCCACAGATGAGATGCCTGGATTCCTCTCAGAGGTTTTACGGTGGTCCACCCTGCTTGCGTCACCGCACGAAACTCTCGAACCCGTTCCGCAGATAGGTGGAACATGCAGACACTTGTTACTTTTTCACGTAGCACTTCCACAAAGTCTTTAGTGGTGACAATCGTTGAGTTGAGCGAAGATCTCAAGTTGGTGAGCTTTTAAGAACACCACCTACTTCATCATAAGCGTTTTTTTTTTCTGTCTAGTGGTTGAAAAGATCCATCTCGCCGAAGAGTACGGCTTCCGAGACAATTCGTGCAATTGGAAGCTATTCTTGAAATGCGGCGCTGCTCCGCCTGATACAAAAAAAAAATATTTTAGGAAACACTGGGTAATGTTCATCAACATACTTTTTATGGCCTCTGTGGCTGGAAGAGCGTGAGCTGTGTCATGTGTCGTGTCATCGCTGACAACGGCAAAGAATTGCGTGCCTTGCGTGGACGTAAGCACACATGTTAAGAGAGGCACTTGAGTTTTTCTCCAATGAAAACTCTGCAGTTCGGTTGAGAGGATGACTGTTCAATTTTCCGCGCAATTGAAGTGTAACATCAGTGCCTTGGGTAGTAAGGCTGTTTTTGTAGCACGTATCAGGCTTCGTCGAAGGTCACGGTTGTCAGAATGCCTCATATACTTTTCGCTCCATGACTTCAGTTCCCACAGGAAGGCGGAAGTTCCCATAACCTTTTTGACAAGTTCACCGGCTTCCAATAAAGCGAGAGAGATTTTTTCGTCTTCGTCGAGATGGAGCGACTGCAGCGAGACGCTGTGCAATTTTGGGCACTTTTCTCAACGTCGCAGGAAGCAATCGTTCTGTGTTGCGCTGCATAAGCAGATGCACTTGAGGTCGCCTCCGGTAAATGTCTTTTTTGAGGCATTTCAAGGAATAAAATATGGAGATGCCTTGTTCTCGACAAGGATGGTCCTTCCTTTTAAAACTTTTTATGACTTTGGTCTTCTTGTCTTTGATCATGGCTTTGACAACGTCCATTTTGTTGGGGCTTTGAAGAGACAATGTGACGACGTCGCGTGTGTAGTAATCAAATGCATCCCTCAAGTCTTCGGCATTCACCTTTTTTCCACATGTAGGTATCAGGGGTTGCCCATACAAAACCTTTACGCTTCAGTTGCCTTGTTTGATCAATCATGTAGGCAGTCGCTTCCGGCACCAGACGCAACATTGCTTTCTTCGAGATACCTGGTGGCAGAAGCGTGTGCAACCTCTTGCGTTCCTGGAGGGAACTGCATGTCTCCAGCGCTTCGCGGAACACGTCAAGCCACTCCGCGCAGCGCTGACAACTGTCTTCGCTGGTTTTCACGCCATAAACACTTGACAGCTTTCTTCTAATCGAAGAACTCACTTGAATTTGTTTTTTCTCTATATGTGCTTCGGGCCTTTTTTTCAATGGTTTTACGTAATTTCAATGGTGTTACCGGTGGACTAGCAGCACACAAGTCTTGACTCACTTCAGCCAAAATTTCTTCAGAGTCCCGGAAAGAAGAGTTTAATGTACTCACGTTGTGAGGAGAAGCAATCTCACTCTGGAGGTATTTGTAGCAATGCTGGCATAAGAGGTCAGATACGTTCACTGTCCGTGAAGCCAGTAGCTTTTCTAACCGCACTTTGTTGAGTCTGCCTACCGGTACTAGGTGCTTATCGCTATACACTTTCTTCTTGTGTCTCCGTAGATAGTCCACACAGAAAAATCACACGGTGCTGAATTGTTGGGCCATGGCCGTTCGATTTGACACTAACCTCTTACTCGCAAACACCTATTTGAGAGGTCACAGTTTCGAAAGAAAATGTCATTGTGGTTATCAACTTCTGTCTTTCCTCGTAGATATAATCAGTGCGTCGCGCATGGTTAAGCTGGTGTTGTTTGTTTGCAGTTCTACTTATTGAGCACCAAATACACCGAGTCTCCTGTAAGCATAGAAATAGTCAGCCGTCTTTTGTTTTGAATCACCCTGTGTAAGTTTACTTTATTACAATGTTTTTGGGGTTTCAGGTGTTTCCGTTTTAGTTTGTGCAAAACTCTCCAATGTTATGGCAGTAAAATTAGAGAGGGTGTTTGGGGTTTCCGTCTCGGTCGGTTCACATAGCGTGGTGAAAATCATCTGTTTCGGTCCTTGGGAAAGGTGCCCGTTCCCGTTGCTGTCCTTAAACTTGGAGTGATTTAGTTTGTCTTGTTAGGTTCGGTCAAGTCTTTGCGGCTGTATGTCTTTATCTTCTTATTTTTTTTTCTTTCTGTGTGGACATGCATTTATTGTCGTTCTTCTTGTGAATAAGCTCAGCTGCGCTTGAGATTTTCGTTTCGAACTGTCCGTTATTTTTGTTTTCTTCTCGTCTCAGGATTTGGATTGCAATGTGTCCTGACCAACTGACCTGCATATTTTCCCTTACAACTACTCTCGCCCTTACTTTCCCGTACCTTACTCTTCACGTATTTAGCTCTGGGTTTCAATTTAATGCGATGTCCTTCCGATTCGTAACTCTCGCCAGAAGAGACGTTCACAGGCGTTTCTTGTTCGATATAAAGGGTGGGAAAAATTGGAGAGGGGGAAGGGGAAGGGGGGGGGGGGGGTCTGGTGACACAACGAAAGAGCAATGCTCGGAGCAGCAGAACTTTCCGCTCTCTATGATCCCACTTTCCAGCTTTTGACGATTCCATGAAGGCAACGTTATGCGGCTAAGTCGCTATAATGAAGACGTCGGCTTGCTCCTAGTGAAGGCTTGTCGTAGCTTTTCCCATTCGGAGGTCATCTGTTACTCAATGTTTTGCTATCACAGGTTAGTTCAAGTCATTGCAAAGAGCCAAAGGGAGTTAAAAAAAATAGTTTATTTTTTTTAAGTATCGACGCCCAATCTTGCCACATTCTGAGAAATCAGCTGCATTTCCGCGTTAATAACAAAAAGACAATTAAAAGACAACTAAATTTGAAATATTCCTGTCGTGTTCAAAAATAGGTTGAATATGATCCACAATATCCGTAAATGACACGCGCACGTTTGTATTTTGAGCCTGGTGGCTGTATTTTTTGTTATAAACGGCCCAGTCAGGCAAGCGCTCGGAGAAGGCCCAGCAGAGACCACGTGACATCCAACGCAATCGTGACGTAGGTCGTCTCAGGACGAGCAAAGCTACGGCGAGGCTGACGTCGAGGCTGACGTCGAGAGGATGGCCTAGTCGTTCTAGCCACCGAAGCGGCTGCTTTTGTACGAATTTTGAGTGACGGGCTAATCTTCTGTAATCTTGTAGGCGGACAATAGCGACTTTTGCGACACACAAAAGGCATTCTCGGGAAAAGGGGAGTTCCTCCTGCCCCTCTTCTCTCGTCGTGGATGGAGGAGAGACAACCTCCGTCACTAGCTGTCAAGGTTCCTAGACGGGCATTACAAGCGAGGCGTTTGCGACATACACCAGGTGCTACTGGCTGATCGTTTGATTCGTTTTAAAATTCCTTTTGGTGACTTTTTTTAACAAGATATTGGTATGTTCGATGTGATGCTGCTCCTTTGAACGCATAGAGACCAAAACATGAGCGCCGAAATTTCGTTGTAGTATCCCTTTAAGGGTGGGCATATTATCTTTAGATATTCGCAAACAATATTTAAAGACGCTCATTTTCATGTGTTTTGTGAAGCATTATGAAAGATAGTGTATTTGCGAAAAAAAAAACAAAAAACGTGAGTATGTATTTAAAACGCGTTTTTATGCGATGTTTGATTTTTTTTGTTTGCATAGAAATATTTTATTGATATTTTTACTTTTTTGTGTATGTATTGTATATCTCTTGTAAATGTATTAAAAAGTTATGGCGAAGTGAAAGCTTAAATGAGAAAATGACGACTGTGCAAAGTAGCATCGCGAAATCTTCTCAATTTCGGCGCCTCGTAGTTCTCTATTTTATATCTCAGCGAAATTAATTGTTACGGCGTTCAATGTTCCTCCCAAGAACATGGCGCTCATATTCATTTTCAACAAAAATATCAAAATTCTGACCCGGACCATCATTGCACCCTAAAGTTGAAGTTATAAAAAGATAATGTGTTTTATTCCAATCGCAGAACTTATTTAAGAGAGCAATATTAGTACTCTACTGAGAAAATTAGGTATGAATAATTGGTTATTTCTTGAGGCTACCACACAGCCGGATTATTAAATAGTTTCACCGACAAATTCCAAAACACAAAGTCAGCATTGAGATATGGGCTTGGTCAAATTTGGCTATATGTTTTTAAGTTTCAGTCGAGTTGTAAAAAAAATAACAATCAAAAACTCTTACTGAATAACCAAAAATTGGTGTCGGAATATTAAGGTTTTCGAAAAACACAATCTCACAAATTGCGTATAGTGCACAGGCTGTAGTCCTGACAAGTCCAAGCTACCCAAATGTTAAAAAAAGAAGGTTATGTTTAGCTTCCGTTTTAATTTGTTTTGAAATCAAACACATACACTTAAAATACGAAACAATGAACGCAGAGCTCACCTTGTTAATACTAGTTATGTCCATCTTGTAATACATGGGCATAAAGACAACGGCCGCCATCCACATAGCGACGATTGCGGAAATCACGTTAACCCAGAGCGTGGAACCGTGCAGGAACACTGATGCCGGCATGCCCAGGGTGGCGATTGGAGACAGAAAACTGGCCATCATGGACAGTGAGACGGGAAACCATCCGAGCTGCTTGTTGGCCGTCAGGAAGGTCCTGTTGGATTGATGACGGCGGTCGGCCCAGGCGAAGTACACGCCGATGGACATTGACAGCAGTAGGAACACGATAAGAACCACGTAGTCGGCCGCCGCGAAGGTCGGTGCGCCCATGGTGGAGGAGAGTCCCTGGGCTTTTCTGATGGTCAGAAAAAGTAGTCGAGGGTCATTATACAGATCATTACATTCCTTCCTTATTTAACGACCTTCCAGAGTCCGTTATGAATGCAACATCTGACAGAATACCTAAAAGAATAGTGTCAATCATAATAATTCGACCATCGTAACCTGACCGCTGTAGATTAAAAAAAAAAGTAATGTTTATACTGTGTTTTTGTGTTACGAGATTGAATGTTTATATTGGTTTCTTTTATGTTTCTTGGCATCTTTGCTGATTTGTGACTGTTCGTTAATCGTTCCAGTGTTACTTTGCTGGTATTGCGAAGTGTTTTTTTGCTTCATGTACCATATGGTGTTGGTATTTGTGTAATTATACTATGCATTTCATTGGTCACCTGGCCCCACATGCAAGCAAAATGCTGTTTTCGTGGGCCAGTTTTTTTTTAAATTTTTGTATGACTTGTTTTGAAAAAAAAATATTATTATTATTATTTAGAACAGTGGTTCTCAAATGGCGGTCCGCGTAGGCATTCTAGGGCTCCGCGAAGCCCTGCCCAATCAGTCAAGCCCGGCAATAAACATTTTGCTTTTGAGATTGAGAAGAAACGCTCCAATTTTAAGGTGAGTTTTCTCAACTATATGTCAACGAGAGAAGTCTACTTCATGCAGCTCTTAGTTATATTAATTCATTAAATCATTAACATAATTAACCAATACCCCCCCCTCCCCCCCCCCCCCCCACACACACACGAACGGGGTCCTCCATCCTCTCCGCCGATCCACAAGAGGTCCGCGAAACATCAACGGTTGAGAACCACTGATTTAGATCATCGGCAAAATCGGCAGAAAACAAAAATGACCGATATGGAATTATGCTGTAGAGTCAACTAAGGCGTTTCAAGAAACAAAATATACAGCGAGCTTATTAGAAAACAACATGTCCTGATCTTCGTTATTTTATTTCAGGTTCTTTTCAATGCTATGTCAACCAAAATTGGGTTTGTCGATAAAGGGGATGTTTTTCACTTGCCATCCTATAAAAGGTCCCGTTTGAAGTGCACCGGTCGTCGTGGTGGGGGAGTGTATACGCCAATTGACGGAAGTATGGCCTGTGAGCCATTGTCTAGTTTTTGCTTTATCACAAAGGGCTATGAAGCTCTTTTATCGTCAGCAGAAGCACGCTTAGTTTCTGTATTTTACCGCCCACCTGATGGCAAAATTTCAAATTTTATTGCTTCTCTCGACACGCTCCTGGAGGTTTGTATACATAACTTTTGTGCGGTGATTGGAGGTTATTTTAATAATAACAAGCAACAAAATACTACGCCTCAAAGATTTAGATATTTTACTAGCAACATATAATTATTCGAATGTGATAAGCTGAACAACTAGAATGAGAGGGTCAACAGAAACTATTTTTGATCTTTTTGTTACGAATGTCAATACCTTTCGTGTGACGATCGGAATTCTTATTTATAAAATCAGTGACCATTTATCAATATCCTTGTGCATATTAGGTGGATATTAAATGATAAAAAATTAGTGTCAGACATTTTTGAAGCCTCACCCTTGATAATATTTTCAAGTTTCGTGAAGGTATTGGGAATGAAAATTGTGCTGACATTGTTAATGCTAAAGACCCAGATGTGATGTATAATACTTTTCTGGAGATGGCGAAGAAACTGCACGCAAGCAATTTTCCACAGAAGAAAATTTGAACCTCAAAAGAATTCGAAAGCCAAAAATGACCTCAGACCTCTTAGCTAAAATATATGTAAAGACCCTACTCTTCTAAAGATTCATCAAAACAAAAATCTGACAGACCTAAAATTCTTTTTAAATTTTGTCGCATACAACTAACAAAAGAAACTTAGAAAGGAAAACCATGCTACTGTCACAAGAACCTAGAGCCATGAAATGGATGTGTGGATGTTATGTGGCTAAATATCAATTCAGTTCCACAGTTCGACCTGTAGCATGATATTGTTGAAACGCTTTGTATTCATGGTAAACCACTTACAGGTATTGCTTTAGTTAACACATTGAACAAGCATTTTGTAGATTTACCCAGACAAGCTTACAGCCGTGAGGCATGTTCTTAAAAGAGGAAGGCTACTTTATAGATCCTGTGATTGGCGCCGATGTGTTTTCAGGGTTTATGAATTTAAACAATACAATTTGTAGAGATTCGGATGCCATTAAAATCAAACTAGTAAAATATGCTCTAGACGTAATTACACGTTATACTACCCATATTTTCAACTTGTGCATTTTGACAGAAATATTTCCTTTTAGTCTGCGGGTAGCTGTGCTACATGGAAAGGGAGATATAAATTGTAACAATCACTATAGACGCGTATAAATAATACCATTTTTGTTCAAATAGTATTGAAACGAATATTCATAAGCGCTTCTTTAATTATTTTTTAGAAACACAAAATGATTACAAGATCTTAATTTGAATTTAGAAGGCATCGATCCACAAAACATAGGTTACTTGATGAGAAATAATTTATTTTAAGAACTATTGAAGATAAAAATCCAGTGCTTGGAATTTATAGACTTCATTAAGGCTTTTGATGATTTAAATCTTGAATCGTTGGCAAAAAGTGATAATTTTACGTGGTTCGCTGCCAAGCATTAGTTCTTCTTGAATCCCACCTTTGATATCTCAAATAATATGCGTGTTGTGGTTTTTTAACACTACAATATATCCGGTATTAGCAAAAGTACTCCAAGAGAGTATTTTAGGACCATTCGTTGTTTCCGTTCATGTCAATGATATTGTGAAAACTAACCATATTGCTAAATTTACGATATACTCTGACGACACCGCCATTTGCTTTGCTGGTGAAGTAAATGAACTTGCCTCTCTGGCTAACAATGTGTTAGAGAAAACAGGCCTATGGACTAGAATAAATACCTTTGAAAATAAAGAGCTATAATACAAAGCTTATTATATTTCGACCTGGAAATAAAGAAATTACTTCAATAGGTTGCATTAATTTAAATTCGTTTAATGTTGAAATAGTTGTCCCTGCAAAACTACTGGAGCTGTGTTTTGACAAATAATATTAGGATATAATCACGTTTTGTATCTAAAAATATGGTAAAATTGGTATTTTTTTGTATACCGGAATAGGTATATACTTAAAAAAATCAGTTAAACTATCATTGCATAAATCCCTATTTTTTATTTAAATTACTATTACGTTGTGTGGGCTACCACTACGGCAACAAATCTCAACAAGGTGCATTTGCTTCAAAAACAAATCTTATGCACGATTGCAAAGGTTCCTTTTCACTCGAACACTGGTAATTGTTCAGAGAATATACTATACTGACCATCTGCGATATGGATAATTATAGACTTTCGACTAGAGTTGCTCAACAATTATACCTACTGGTAGAATTGTCTAGTTTGAAACAACATATTTCGAGGTATAAAGATTGGAAACCCGAGCGCTGGAATGTACTTACATATCGATTAAACAATGAAAAGGACATGCGTGCACGCCGGCGTGCGGGATATGCGGCAAGACGCACCCCACGGGCGACCAAAAGTGCAAAAAGAAATTCAAGACGCCGTACATCGTATGCAGAGAAGCTGGGAAAGGAACGGAACAAGCAGGGCCTCCTGAAGCAGGGAGAGGAGAACTTTCCCAAGTTGCTTGGGGACGCCTCCCGCTCGCGATCGAGGAGCCGTGCCGAGGGACGGAGATCCAGGTCGACATCGAGGACGGGCGGACAACGGCAGTCAGGATCCAGAAGCGGCGGAGAACGCCACATGAGCTGGGCGGAGATGGTCTCCCGTAAGGCTCGACGGAACAAAAGGGGTAACGCGTTCGCAGAAACGAGCCAGGCGAACGAGCTGGCAGAGATTGAGACTTTGCTGAAGCAGGCCTTAGAAGAGAACAAGGTGCTCCGCGAGGAGCAAAACAGGCTTAAGGAGGGGACGCGTAAAAAAGTAGAGGTTGTGCATGCACCGCAGGAGACGATCTCCGCGGAGTCTGACGGTGGTGAGTCGGCTTCACCGCCACTGAAGCGGAGGCGCGGCTCACGGCGCGACCGAGAACAGAGGCGCGCGAGGTAAAACCCGTTAGTGGGGACCAACCCCTACAAAAATATGTCTAGACGTCCTATGTCCATACTTTTGCCGTTCTATTACCCCTTTGTCCATCCTATGGATTCCTGTAGACAGTTCTTAGACCGTCTATGTTCCACTGGTTTGCCACAGAATGGACACAACAACACTATAGAGATCTTCGCGAAAGAAAAAGTTTTGATTCCTTCCTATTTCCGTTCTATGGTCCCGGTGAGTCTCTGGATATCCTATTACCTCTCTTTGGTGTGAGCTATATATTGGTACATTAATAAAGTGATGCCGGGTGGACGTTTTCTTTAGGTGTAGCGAGGTGTCCAAGTTAAAGAGTTGTTAATTAAGTTCCGGGTATCAATATGTTACATTGATGTCTGGAGGCATATCCAACCTCAGGGTATATTCATTGTGGAGATGGAAGTGTTTAGTATGTGCCGGAATAATGTTTTTACTTTCTCCGTGGGAGGTAGGTATATGTGGGTCGCTGCGGCCCCCGTAGATATTCGCAACTTTCACAACCCATAGGAGGCGCACTGGTGCCTATCAAAATTGCGGTGATCTGGATGATCGTCCTAAAACAGCGGTATACTAGGCTGGGTCTGCGCGCGACGCGTAAGTAATTATAGTTAGGCTGTATACGCGCAGTATCAAAGCCTTACTTTATGTTTTTTTTTTCACGTCAGAAAAGTGTAGGCCAGCCCTTTTATTATGAGGCCAATCATCCAGGAGCTAGGGAGTGCGATTCTCACACCGCGGTACCACCATCGCTTAAAATGGCTTCTCTATGGACCCCGTAAGGACTCCGAGCAGACCCTGTATGGCTTCTCTGAAGACTCCATAAGGAGCCCGTGTAGACCCTGTATGGCTTCCCTGTGAACCCCGTACGCACTCCCTA